CTTACGAGAGAAGTTCGTGCTCGCTTGCCCACGGAGATTGCACAGAGCAGAGCAAGAGAGGCAGAGAATCTACTTGAACTGCACTGCGACAGCTCTTAATAATGCATGTGTTGGGCTCCCTAGAGCTGCTTTCCTTTCTTTTTCTTTCCCTTTCTCATTCATTCATGCATAGAGACAGCGATCTCTCTAGGTTGCCAAGGCTGGTCTCAAACTCCTGGGTTCAAGAGATCCTCTTATCCTGGCCTCCCAAAGTGCTGGGATTACAGGGATGAACCACCATGCCCAGCCTCATCATTATTTTGAAATACTTTTAAAGCAAAAGTTGATTAGATTTGAAACCCATTCACATTATCACAAGAAATACCAAAATTACATTTGTTGATGAAGGAAATTAGATTTTTTAAGTTCAACTGCTGTAAATTTTTAAGTGATTGTAAAAATGATTTTTAAAGCTTTTAAAATTGTGTGAACACGTTTCTCATTGATGGTAACAAAATTTAGAGTTCATAATTTTTAAAACTTTGGGATTTCTTGTAGTCATTTCAAACATAAAATTTATATCTGTGGAAGCAAACTCAATATTCTATTTTAAAATTTTAAAATATTTGTGTACAAATTTAATTCACTGATATAGAATCCCTAACACTTTTTAAAACTATGATTATATATCAAAAATTGTTTCCAGCAAGCCCTATACAGATACCCTCAAGTCCCCTCAGGTTGCCCCAGTATGCTATTCAAATAGTATTATTTTCTGTCCTTTAATGGGAAAGACGGGAAGCACTGCTCTAGGATCAGCCTCTTCCTCTCCCTGTCTGTCCTCTTCCCTTTCCACCCCTTCCCTCCCCGCCATACTTCTTCCATAACACTGAACTGGAAAGGGACGAAAATAGAGTCCTCAGGGTCACACAAGCCACCAGAAATAGGAAATGTATCTTTAGTACAAAAAAAAAAAAAACAAAACCGAGAGATGATAAAGTATATTGACGCCATCACTGGCCAGGATCGCTTTGCCATCTGCTGTTTCTTGTTTCTGTGTTTTTCTCTTGAAAATCCAGCACAGGATGCTGGAGCCACAGTTAGCAGCTAGTGAGTCAGGATCTTAGCTTCAGAAACATAATCCCTCCTGAGCTTTAAACCTAAATATTTCATTGCCCACTGTGCATTTCTAGACAGATAACTTACAGACAGTACTAGCTCAATACCTCTGAAGCCAAGCTTGGTCTACCCACCTTTACACAAAATCTGTTTCCTCTTTTGTATTCCCTCAGTGGGATGTCAGCCCTGTTCACCAATCACTTTGAGTGCCGAGAGTCATCACTCTTCCCTATAAACATAACTCACATCGTCCCTCTCACCTGGACTGTTTCAAGAGTCTCCTCAGTCGTCTCTCTGACTCCATCCTCTTCCCATTTCAATTCACCTTCCACCTTGTCCACAAAGTGATTCATCTCAATTGCAAATCTAACCATTTTCCTCCCATACAATGTTTCAATGGCTTATTTTGGCAATTAGAGAAAATCTAAATTCTCTTATACGGTATAAAAGGCTTTTCATTTCCTACACTACCTAGCTCTTTGGCCTCTTCTTTTCTAGTTTGTCAAGCCACTGATTGACCTGCTGTCTTTTATACCGTTTCCTCTGGCTGGAAGGCCCACCTCTCAATGTCCATCTGAGGATCACCTACTCATCACAGTATGGCCCAAACTGATCTCCTCTCACTCCACTCAGGTAGTGTCACTCACTCCCTTTTTTGTGTTCTCACAGTACCATACAGATCATTGGTTCTCAACCAGCAGCAATTCTGATGCCATGGGACAAACACTTGGCAATATCCGAAGATAATTTTGGTCACCACAACAAGGGGTGAAATGCTACAGGCATCTGGAAGAGGCCAGGGATTCTGCTAATGATGCTGCAATGCTGACGATGCTGCTGCAATGCACAGGACAGCCCCCAAACAAAGAATCATTCAGTCCAAAATGTCAGCGGTGCTGGGTTCTAAAACCCAGATGTACAACACTTTATCAGACCTGTCTGTTTACATATCCGTCTCTCCCTGTTATACTATGCGCTCCTCAAGGGCATGCACCATGTCTTACCTTTAAATCCTCAGGGGTGAGCAGTGCTATACATATAGTAGGTGCTCACTAAGTATCTATGGAGTGAATTAGAGAGAAGTTAAATAAGTCTCATCTGGTCCCTGCACCTAACAGGCCAACACCTGCATTTCAAAGCAAAGAGGGTTGGTGGACAGGGAAAATGTGGCACATATACACCATGGAATATTATGCAGCCATCAAAAACGGTGAGTTTGTGTCTTTTGTAGGGACATGGATGAACCTGTAAACCATCATTCTCAGCAAACTGACAGAAGAGCAGAAGATCAAACACCGCATGTTCTCATTCATAGGCGGGGGTGTTGAACAATGAGAACACATGGACACAGGGAGGGGAGCACTACACACTGGGGTCAGTTGGGAGGAAATAGGGGAGGGATGGTGGGAGGTGGGGAGCTGGGGAGAGGTAGCAAGGGGAGAGATGCCAGATATAGGTGATGGGGAGGAAGGCAGCAAATCACACTGCCACGTGTGTACCTATGCAACAATCTTGCATGTTCTTCACATGTACCCCAAAACCTAAAATGCAATAAAATAAATGGGAAAAAAAAAGCAAAGAGGGCAGGAACATAAGATGCTTGGGGTCAGAACAGTTAGGGGATGTGGATCAACCAAACCAGCTGCTCAGCCTATTAAGGTTGAACTCTACATCTTTCTCAAGTCCTCTATCCCTTCATGGTCCCCACTCCATAACTCCATGAGAATACCAAATTCTTTTGATTTTCTCCCTCAGAAATGTTTCCTGAATCGAAGCCATACCCACTGCCAAAGATGCAGATCAGGCTCTCAGCAGCATTACCTTCCTAGACCACTATTGTGCCCCTTCATTTGGTCTCTCTGCCACCTACAAATTGAGAAAGTCAAATTTAAAAAGGCCTTATAGTTTCCATCTCTAAAATAATAGGATTTGTAATGCCATGTGGTATCAATCAATTCCAGCCTTTCCATTAAATAATCCATATGAATCAGTATTCATGCCTTCATTTATTTATATGGCTGTAATATTCCAAAACGCTAAGTGGGAATAAGTGTAATACTTTAGAAAACCTTGCACTCTTTCATGACCTTTCATCTTGGAAACATAGACTCAAATGTACACAGCTTTAATTGATCCTCCCTTTCTTCTAGTAACCCAGTTCCCACAGATGTCAGTCTCTTAACAACTCCAAACAAGGAGTAAAGTATTGAGAGTTTTGGAATGTGTGCATATCATATTTTCAGTAAAGAGATGAGCAACACTTTCAATTAAAGAGGAATCTGAAAGAAAACAGCAGCATCCCTGAAAGAGTACATGAGGACAGTCAGCTGGACTCATTTGCTATCTCAGCACTCCCCTCCCCAACTCCTCCGCCTTCCAGCCATGCTGCATTGACCTTTTATCATGGAATGGTGTACAGCTTTTTGGATTTTGTTGTTGCCACTCATAATCCCAGCAGACTTGTATTATAAGTAGCTGCTTATACTGCTGTTACGTATAGATATAGAAAATGAAGTAATGACTCTGTAACTTGTCAGTGGTCAAAGAAGCCAAGGACACTGAGCAAAGGTGACTGAGAACAAGTGCCCAGCACGGGCTCCAACACCCAGTAGAAAAGGCCCCCAGTAGGGCCTTTTCTCACTGGTTTTTCTCCAACAAGGAATTTCTCTCTTACTGAAAGACAGTACAGTTTGGGGAATATCATTTAACCAGATATTCTGCTCCATTCTTGGAGTAAAAAGCAGGTGCAATTTTTGTATAAGAGTCTAGCTAGGGATGTAGATGAAATTAATTTTTATAACAGGACCAGGCTGAGGAAAAACATCAATAAATGCTACAAACAGTTTCTCACTTTTTCTAACAGGGAAATCTCTGCAGGATGATAAAGATGCTAGTTATGTCTAATAGCAATGTTAATTCAGGTGAATCTGAAATAATCATGATACCTTTTTCTCTAGGAGCCAAATGTAGCTTTGGAATTTTTCTCACTGTAGTGTTGTAGGCAGAAACTATCAATTGAGGCAGGCCCTTGAGAGGAAATATTTGTCCTCCTTAGATAGCCCATGCAATGATCAGGCTTAGAGAGTGAAAAACCAATTTAAATGACTGGATTGCTCATCTTTTATTTACAGTACTCCCAGTGGCCTAACCTGGAACATATAGAAGAAAGTAGTGGGATGGTTTTTCCAGACCCACTTGAGTTACTTCAGGTCCTCAGTCTTTAATAAGGCTTTGGGAGAGAAAAAAAAGCTGTTGCTGTGTGAATTCAATAAATACTGAAAAATTTTAAAAATCCGTGAACATTATTTCTGCCATCGTGCGATCTGAGCTATTTGAGTAGTTTCAAAAATCTCGTGTGATGGGTTATCTTGACCAACCTCCCTTTCAGTAAGAAATTATTAACAGAACGTGAAAGAGAAGGAAGAGGGTGAGGCAGCTCCCCAGTTCGTTGCTAGATCCAACCTGGCCAGTGAACCTTGAAAAAGCCAAACTCTCTTACCTTCACCATGGAAGCACAGAACAAAATGCCCCCTCCTAAAAACAGAAGTTCGACCAGATCCCTTCCTGTGATTCTTCAAGAAGCATTGCATCATCAACCTCAGGCGTAAGCATTAATAAAGACCCTAAATAATAACAGAGACGAAACAGATCGCAAAGAGACTTTTCCTTTATCCCCTTTAAAATGTGAATACTCCCAAGAGGAACCAACCAACATCATTACGGGTTAATGCCTATGTAGACAAACTAGGGCCAGGATATAAAGTAAGAAATAAGTAGGGAGGAAGGAAAGGTATCCTAGAGACGACTCCAAGGGTTGAGGGGAAACATCTGATTTTACCTTAAAATCATCCTAATTCGTTAACCTTTTGTGTTTTTTTTCTTCTTCTTTTTCTTTTATACTTGGCCCTGCTCAAGCAGGACCTCAAAAAAATTGGTTACTAACAACTGTTCCTCTCCACGGAAATCTGCAGTAAAAGACAAAAGATGTATTGTTCCGCACAGAAACCAGAGCTTGCGATGAGCTTCTGTGTCTCCGTCAGCCCTTTAGCATGACGTTAGGAACCCTCCGGGAACTGAGTCTTCGTCGAAGCCCGGGCTGCCACCTACAGACACGCACTTTCCAACGCCAGCACCCTGCCTGGAGCCGGCTCTCCCACCCGGGCCGCTCTGCGTCCGCGCCGCCCCGGCCGTGGGGGTCGGCAGGCCAGGTACACAACTCCGCGGAGAAACAGCTGTCGGAGTTCGGGGTGCGTCCCGCCATGGCCCCGCCCCAGGGTCCTGCCCCTCGCCCCCAGCCCCCACCCGACGATCTTTAAGGTCCCCCGGGCGCGCCAGGCAGACCTGCAGCGACTCCGCAGGGACAGCGCTCCCGCGCTGCTGCTCCGGCCGCCCGGCAGCTCTGAGGATGGAGAGGAGGGCGCGAAGCTCCTCCAGGGAGGCCCGCGGGCGAGGTGGCAGCGCCCCGAACAAGGAGAACAAGAGGGCCAAGGCCGAGCGGGGCGGCGGAGGCCGCGGACGCCGGGAGGCTGGCCCCGAGCGGTCGGGCTCTGGACGGGCGGGGACCGCAGGGGAGCCCCGGGCGCCCGCCGCCACTGTGGTGGACGTGGATGAGGTCCGGGGCTCCGGCGAGGAGGGCACCGAGGTGGTGGCGCTGCTGGAGAGCGAGCGGCCAGAGGAAGGTACGGTCCGGCACTGTTATCTGCCGCCTTTCCAGGTGGTAACCAAGGGGTGTCAGATAAGGTGAAAAGGGTCATCCCACAAGACCCACTGAAGTCAGGGCAGACTGCTGGATGCTCAGGTTCCCAGGAACGGAAAGACGTTAGGAACCCAGCAACCTCCTATGGTGAGCAAAGAACTTCAGGAGAAATACAGGTATCACTATATCCTGGTCTCGGGTCAGCCTTGGATGGGAGTGGGAGGGAGTGTGGTCCAGGTTGGGGACCAGTCAACATGGCAAAGGAGCCATGAAGTTGGTTTTTGTGGCCACGGAAGGGCACATGGGCACCTAATTTAAGTAAAAACGTGCACGAGTTGGTGGCTGTAGGCAGTTATGTGGCTTATTCTTCCCATGTCCCCACCCCTCAGTCTTACCTAAAAGCATTTTAAACTTCTGGGGAGATTATCATTCTTTCTGGAAAGCAGTCGCAGCAGAGCCAAGTGAAGAAGAGCCACACCTGAGTTTAAACCACAGCTCAGTCACTGCTAGCCATGTGATCATAGGAAGGACCTTAACCAGCTCTCATCTAACAGTGCCCGCCTCAGAGGGTAGTGGTGAGGATACAATGAGAAAAGGCATCCAAAGCACTCTGCACAAAGCCTGGAACAAAAACATACTCAATTCTAGCTGCATCCTTGCAAGCTGAGAGAGAGGAAAATTAAATCAAAGGAGGGAATGCAAAAAAAGGTTCCTCTTCTGCTTCTGCAGGAGAAACAATTCTTGGGAAAAATTTTATCTACTTCCAGTGTTTTTTATAATGAGTGGAAGAAAAAAAATGAGGACCACTTTAGTAGGATGACAAATGTTTAAAGAAATTAAATAAGGGATAGGGTGTTATATTGCTTTCTGCTGGCTACGATGTTTTAACATTTCCTGGTTGCCAGCAATGCAGTACATGCTGGATCACTAAAAGCTACCATTTAAGGAAGATTTCTGCAGTTGGGGTGTAGTTTAAATGGGTTGTGTTAATACTGTTTTGTCCAGTTGATGATACCCTTTCATCAGCCAGAAACCTCTGTTCAGTAAAGGTTTGCTGGGCTCAATGCTGAGGTTAGAGGGCTTGTAACTGTTAGGCAGCAGATCACACTGGTAGGGTAGGCAAGTAAGGGAGCCACCATTTATGAAACCCCTACTATGTGCCAGGCACACACTGGGTGTTTTGCTGAGTTATTTAATCCCTCACCATCCTCTTATCGCAGATGAGGAAACATGCTTTGAGAAATTAAGTCACGTGTGCAAGTCCTGTTTCTGGGAAGTAGAGAAGGCATATTCCCAGAGTAAGACAGTCTGATTGAAATGCTCACCCTTGCTTGGTGCTGCCTCTCATTTCTGGTCATGGTCCTACTGGCCGTGGCCTTGGGCACCTTTGTGGGCCTCAGTCACTGCAGCTACAGAGTAAGTAAAGCAGGAGATGCCAAGCAATGGGCAAGCAGTCCCACTAAGGATGAAGTGACTTTGGCTGAGCCCTTGTGTGGGAGGTTTCCAAGGCTCACAGGGAACTCAGCACCACACTCCCAAAGGCAGGCTAGTTAAGATGGAAGAAATGAAAAAGCGCTTCACCTCACCAAAATGCTGGGGACTCTGAGATGATATTTAAAGGCTTTTCTTGCTTGACTAGTTAATGTTTGACTATTTACTTAAACCAAACAAGTTGGATATTCAAGCAACTTATTCTAACAGAACAGTATTTTTTGGATAAAGCTTCAAGTTAGGCTTGAGTGTAGAAATTCGTTTTCTATGCATATCTCTTGCTACTGTATGAAGGAATTTTTGAGGCATTTTTTCACTTATAAAATGTAATTTTGTATGTGCATTTATTTTTACTTTCCATGGCTACCACTGGCAACTGAAACGTATTTATAAACTAATTAAAAATGGCAATGATACTGTTATTCATTGCCCTTGAAGAATATTATAAAAATTAATATGTTGGTAGAGCAGCATTTCCCAGAGTAGTTTCCATGAGAAACAAGTTCCATAAAATATCAGTGAGTATTCCTTAGAGAAAATATTACCTGGTCAAACGTGTGTAAACAAAGCTAAGAATGCTTTGAGATTCTCATAGCTTCAACATCGTGATGAGCACTGGGAACTCCAGGAATGGGACGTAGTGCTTAGTATCCTCTAAACTCATTTGCCCAGGAAATTCTTCTTTGGTGGAGCAACGTGTGGGATCAGTATTTTGTAGGATGGCCTCTGGAAACTGCCGTACTATGGTATTCAGTGCTAATTCTGTTTTTGTGCTGGTACAGCTTGCATATCTGTCCTCTTCTTCAAGTGATCTGCACATCAGTTTGGTGGTGACCTTTCTGGGCATGAAAATCAAATCAGATTTTCAGGCCTACTAATTAGTTATCCCCTTCATTCCCATCTCTTAAAAAAAACAAGATTTTAGGCCAGGTGCCATAGCTCATACCTATAATCCCAGCACTTAAGAGGCTAAATGAGAGGATCATTTGAGGCTAGGTGTTTGAGACCAGCCTGGGCAACATAGTGAGACCCCATCTCTGCAAAAAAATTAATTAGCCAGGTATGGTGGCATGCACCTGTAGTCCCAGCTACTTGAGAGGCTAAGGTGGGGGGACTGGTTGAGCCCAGGAGGCTAAGGATGCAGACAGCCATGATCACATCACTGCACTGCAGCCTGGAGAGGGCAAGACCCTGCCTCAAAAGAAAGAACGACAACAAGAAGGAAAGAGAGAGAGAGAAGAAAGAAAAAAAGGAAGGAAGGGAGGGAGGGAGGGAGGGAGGAAGGAAAGAAAATAGACTTTTTACCATTTCCTAATTTTTAGTCACCTTCTAGTCCTCTGTGATCTTTTTAAACTGGCAAACAGAATTCCTTTGGTCAGTTTTCTAGTACCTGGAGGTTAAAATTCTTGAAATTTGCATAACTCTTACATTTAAATCATTTTCACCCTCCTTTCTTCCCACATTCAATTAATATTTATTAAGCACCTCCATGGTGCCAGGCATTATTCTAAACCCTGAGGGCACAGTGTAAATAAGACAAGACCCCAAGAAGCGTGTGTTCTTAAGGCTGACTTTCCTTGATATTGTTTCATTTATCACCCAAGCATCCTGGATGTTCTGAACCGCAGTTCCTTATTGCTTTTTTTAAATCACATCAGTAGGTGAATTTTACCCCATATAGGTAATTTTCAAAGACTATCGAGATCAGCACCTTAATGGAGGTGTTAAAATGGTGGAATTTCAGACATTAAGGCAGGTAATGGATGGGGAAGTTATTTTATGGAAGATAAGGCTCTGGACAGGTTGTTGGAAACACTTAAACCAAACCTGACACATGTAAAGTACCGCTCACTGCTTTATATGTATGTGTAATTTTATCCTTATGCCAAAGTGGACGATACATCTCATGAACTAGTTATTTTGGGATAGTCATGAGATATTAGCAACCCCATTATACAGGGAAGAAACTGAGGTTTGTAAAGGCCATATGCCTTGCCTAAGGTTATCTGGATATGAAATGGTAGAGCCAGAACTAGAATCCAAACCTTCTTCCCAGATTCTGTGCCTGTTGCAGTATACACCCTCTGCTCTTCTCTTATTGTATTTTTGAGACATGGTCTAGCCCTGTCACCCAGGCTGGAGTGCAGTGGTACAGTCATAGCTCACTACAGACTCAACCTCCCAGGCTCAATCTATCTTCCCACCTCAGCCTTTTGTGTAGCTGGGACTACAGGCATGCTCCACCATACCCAGCTAATTTTTAATTTTTTTGTACAGACAGGATCTCACTATATTGCCCAAGATGGTCTTGAACTCCTGGACTCAAGCGATCCTCTCATCTCAGCCTCCCAAAGTGCTGGGATTACAGGCGTGAATCACTGTACCTGGTCCCCACTACCTTTCCAGGGCCCTGCTCCTCCCCGGGCCCTATGAACTCTGACCACTCTGATTTGACTTATATTTCCAGCAAAGTCTCCAAGTTGCTCTGACTCCAATACCAAGGACTGGACCAACAGATGCTAATCAGTGAGTATGGTGAAGTTTCAATATAATTATTCTTTTGCTTTAATTTTTTTTAAGGTACCAAATCCTCTGGCTTAGGGGCCTGTGAGTGGCTTCTTGTCTTCATTTCTCTGCTCTTCGTCATCATGACCTTCCCTTTTTCCATCTGGTTCTGCATAAAGGTGAGGTTCCACGAGGACCCAGTAGGTAATTTCCTGATGCCTCTCACTGACCACACCACGCCCATTCTCACCTCTGTGTTCTGGTACTATTCTTGCCCGTGTGGAATGCCCTCACCCCTGACTCACCTTCCAGAGTAGCTCATACTCCTCCAAGACCTTGCTCAAATGTAAACAGGAAGCCTTCCTTGACTCCCCCAGACTGCCATTCCCTTCCTGGTGCTCCCGAGTCACTCTGCTTTCACTTGCTCTAGCACTTACCACGTGTATTATATTGGCTATGCCTGTTTCATCTGCATTCTGTGACCAGAATGGATCATGACATCCACTCCACTAAAAACTTCTCAGGCAGCTTCTGTAGCCCATGAGTCATGATTGTCTCTGGCCCACAGGTGGTTGTAGATGCCTGTCCCTGAGGTAAATGAAGACCTGTGTCACTTCTGGAAGCACGTGCCAAGATGGAATTAGAAGAGCAAGAGATTTATTGGGAGATAATGCCTGTGAGATTAGTGGGAAAGAAAACAAGAGTAGTCAGGAGAAGCCTTCAGACAGTGATGCAGGCCTGACACTTATGATATGAGAAGGGGAAGAAAGGATTGGGCAGAAAGAGCCTCCGACTGTGGTGCTGCTCCGAGAAAGCCTTGGCCAGCCCAAAAGGGAACTCTAGAGCAAGGCTTGCTTCAAAAGACTCCCATAATGGGCAGAAACAGCATGGCCCTAGTACTCCTGCCATCTCCGTCAGTGGCTGCAGCTGCAGGGAAGACTGCGTCCTTGGCTGAAGCAGTACACGTGCTGCTGGGGCTGCTGTTGGGTTGTACTCACAGCAGGCAGCGGCTTCTTCCCCCTCTTCATCTTGCCCTCCCCATTTTCCTCCCCAAAATACAGTTTGGTATTTTGTGTTTTTGTTTTCATTTATCTCAAAGTATTTTCTCATTTTCCATGTGCTTTCTTCTGTAACCCATTGGTTAGAGTGTGTTGTTTACTTTCCACTTATTTGTGAATTTCTCAAATTTCCTTCAGTTACTGATTTCTAGTTTAACTTCAGTGTAATAAGAGAATATACTTTATATGATTTCAATCCTTTTAAATTTGTTTAACTTAGTTTCATGGCCTAGCATAGTATCTTTCCTGGAGACGATGTTTCATGTATGCTGGAAAAGAATGTGTACTGTGCTGTCATGGGGTAGAGATGTTTGTTAGGTCTGTTTGTTGATAGTGTTGTTCAAGCCTTCCATGTCTGTCTAGTTCCATCCATTGTTTAAAGTGGGGTATTGAAGTCTCCAACTGCCACTACTGAACTGTCTATTTCTACTTTGAATTATTTTGGTCTTTTTCCTCATGTAAATTTTGGTACTGTTTTTAGGTGTACCTATGCTTATCGCTGTTACACTTTCCTGATGCGTTGATCCTTTTATCATTATACAGTGTCTCCGTTTCTTGCTAGTAACATGTTTGCTTGTTTTGAAGTCCATTTTCTCTGGTGTTAGGATAGCCACTCCCACTCTCCTGTTCGTATGGTATGTCTTTTTCCATCTTTTACTTTTAGTCTATTCATATCTTTGAATATAAAGTGTGTCTTCTATAGATAGTATATAGTTGGCAGCAGGCTCTTCTTGAAGGGTGACCTGAGCACCTGCATGACTGCCACAAGATTCAACACTGACTCAGCCACAGCTTTTGGGAAAGGCTTTTAGGTCTGGTCACTGAAGATGGAAAGCCCTAAGAAGCCAATTAGGCAGAGGAAAGAAAAGCAGACCCAGGCAGTTATATTTGAGCAAGGTCTTGAAGAAGTAAGACTCCCCTTCATCTCTGGGAAGAATTTGTTTCTTCCAATAAAAGCAGGTAAGAAGTAATGCTAGGGAACCAAGCAATTGGGAATTTCTGGGCATGCTCTAAGAACCATATACAGTCATTCATTCTCATTGTTTCAAGCAAGGCAGTGTTCTGGCCTCATGAAATTGTAAACCCCATGAGGCAAACAAAACATGATTCCCAACCTCAAAGGACTTACAGTGGGTTAGTAGAGCCTGTAATCTCAGGTACTCAGGAGGCTGTGGCAGGAGAATCATTTGAACCTGGGAGGTGGAGGTTGCAGTGAGCTGAGATCACACCATTGCACTCCAGCCTGGGCAACAAGAGTGAAGCTCCATCTCAAAAAAAATTATAACTGGCCAGGTGCAGTGACTCACACCTGTAATCCCAGCACTTTGGGAGGCTTAGATGGGTGGATCACCTGAGGTCAGGAGTTCAAGACCAGCCTGGCCAACATGGCAAAACCTCATCTCTACTAAAAATACAAAAAATTAGCTGGATGTGGTGGCTCAGGTCTGTAATCCCAGCCACTCAGGAGGCTGAGGCAGGAGAGTTGCTTGAGCCTGGGAGGCGGAGGTTGCAGTGAGCCAAGATCATGCCACTGCACTCCAGCCTGGGTAACAATAGTGAAACTTCATCTCAAAACAAAACAAAACAAATCCAATTGAATCATTTTGAAGCAGCACTCTGAAACAAAATATCACAAGTGGTATTAAAATGTATTCCCTCTTTGTGTTAAATAGCTAATGAATGATACATATAAAAGCTAGTAATGCAGAAATCACAGTAAAACACAAGATTTAACATGCCTTGGTAAGATTAATTTAGGAAAAGTTGGCCATGGTTTTTTTAGATAATCATAAGTCTTTAATCAAAATTCTGTCCATGGGTTCAAAAATTAACACGGTTAATATATTTTTTCATTGGTTTCTGAAATTTTATACTTACTAAATATAGATTTGGGAAACTTAAGTATTAATAGAAATTTTTATTGGTTCTCAAGACAAAAAGTTTCTGATATCTAGGATCATTCTTATGCCAAGGCCTTTTGAAGACTTTATTTTTCTTTCTGGGAGTGATTTGAAAGGATTAAATTTCTCTTTAGGTTGTACAAGAGCATGAGAGAGTAATTATATTCCGACTGGGACATCTGCTTCCTGGAAGAGCCAAAGGCCCTGGTAAAAAACACTTTTTTTTTTTTTAAATACCTCCCTCTTGACTTGCTTATTTCTTCAACCCATGCAGCTTTGTAATACGGACCTCTGAATACACGAAGCAACTTGATTCATGATATCCGCATTTTCCAGATATGATATCTGCATATCAGTTACTTACAATATAGGTTATTAAGAAATTCTTCAGAGACCATTATTACTAGGTCATAGGTAGCCAAGAGAGAGAACTGGTATGGAGAGCCCACATGCCAGGGCCAATGGCTGGGGACTGGTTTGAGTATAATGTATATATGGCCAGAATCCTGTGAATTCTCAGAGAAAAGCTGAGCTAGTTCCCAATCCAGGTGCTCAGATCCAGTCATGGGAGGGAGATAGGCAAAATTCAGCATCCAAATAACAAATCCATCTTCAGTTGGAGGGATTTATAAAACACAGATTAAGCATTTCTTCTGTCTCAAACCCTGTGCTAACTGCCAAGGATACTTTTTACTTGGATAAATAAGACATGGTCTCTGATCTCAGAACCTTAAGATCTAGTGGAGTTGATGTCCAGAGGTCCAAGCTCTTTATGGGAGACGGATAGAAGTACGGTCAGTCTGAAAAGTTTAGTAGTGGAAGTTTGGAAATCTAAGTCAGCCAGGAAGGTGTGAGTCCCGCTGTGTATACATTGGAGAGGGTCTCAGTTCCAGGCCATGCCCACAGAGAACAGACTAGGGACAAATATCAGAGTATGAAGATTCAGAATGAATAGACAAGTCCACACAAAAGTAGAAACAGACCCTGTAGTTCCAGGACAAAGAATATCTTGCTCTGACCCTGGTTTTTAGGAACCTTCTCAATTGGCACTGAGGAGGACTAGCAGAGCTAGGCTGCTCTCCAGATAGATCCTGGGCTCTGTGAGGTGCTGCTTGTTTCAACAAAGCTTTGGCTCTTGCAGGAGTCCACAACATCCAATGGGCTCTCATAAAATCTCAATAAATCAATGTATAAATGTTTTCTGCACATCGATCCTATATATTATATTGGGTGGGTGAGGACTAACTAGCCAGCCAGAAAGCTGGTATCATGATAATTGCTATTCTGATTACTTCTGGGGCTCACATTCTAAGAAAAATGACATAGAGGTTGCTGGCTCTAAAGTTTGACACCTGGGTGCACTCATGGACTCAAAAACTATTTTAGAGAGTACCTAAAAGGCACTAAGTCAGACACTAAGGCTAACAGTAGTGCCTAGGACACTACGGAGGGAGTTCAATTCTGGTGAAAGGCCAGATATGCAAATGAGATCTGGGGAGGCCAGCACCATGACTAAAGGGACCACACAGCCCAGTTTGCTGGGGATCATCTCTGTTTATACCTATCGTCCTGGAGCAAATTTTAATAGTGCTCTCCTTTGACCCTCAGGTGGAGGCAGGGTGGGATGGGCCAATGCTCTGTAATTAAAGGCTAAGGAAAGCAATGTAGTATGCAGTCTGACCCAGAAAGGTGAAACCCAAACAGCCTTCATGCTAGCTATTATCTGTCACCTCCCCCTCCCCCTCTTCTAGGTCTCTTCTTTTTTTTGCCCTGCCTGGATACCTACCACAAGGTTGACCTTCGTCTCCAAACTCTGGAGATACCTTTTCATGAGGTAAGCCAAATGATGGCCTTTGCTTTCTCTATATATTTTCTATGGTCTACCTGCCATGAACAAAATGATTATTTATGCTCAAAAATAGGAAAGAAAAATAACGATATGGGCTATATCAGAACTTAAAACTTTCGTGCATCAAAGGACACAATTAACAGAGTGCAAAGGCAGTCGAGGGAATGGGAGAAGACATTTGCAAATCATATATCTCATAAAGGGTTACTATCCAAGATATATAAAGAACTCATACACCTCAACAACAAAAAAGTAAACAACCTGATTTAAAAATGGGCAAAGAACTTTGTGGTGGTTAACCTTATGCGTCAGCTTTGCTAGGCCATGACCATTTGGCCTATATTTGGCCAAACACATCTGGGTGTTATTGTGAGGGTATTTTTTTTTTAGTTGGGATTAACATTTAAATCAGTAGATTCTGAGTAAAGCAGATTACACTCCCTAATGCGGGGTGTGCCTCATCCAGTTGAAGGGCTCCAGAAGAAAAGTGACCTCCCTTTGAGGAGGAGGGAATTCTGCCAGTAGAAAAGATGAACGCTTGGCCAGGCGTGGTGGCTCACGCCTATAATCCCAGCACCTTGGGAGGCCAAACGGGACAGATCATGAGGTCAGGAGTTCGAGACCAGCCAGACCAACATGGTGAAAACCTGTCTCTATCAAAAATACAAAAATTAGCCGGGTGTGGTGGCATGTGCCTGTAATCCCAGCTACTTAAGAGACTGAGGCAAGAGAATCGCTTGAACCCGGGAGGTGGAGGTTGCAGTGGGCCAATATCACGCCACTGCACTCCAGTGCGGGTGACAGAGCAGACTCCGTCTCAAAAAGAAAAGATCAACTCTTCTCTGGGTCTTCAGCCTGAAGATTTTAGACATGCTAGCTTCCACAAGCACATGAGCTAATTCATTAAATCAATATTTTTTTCTCTCCACACCCCAACATATGTGTGTGTGTGTGTGTGTGTGTGTGTGTGTGTGTGTGCATGCATATATTTGTATGGTGAAACCCAAACACACACATACACATTATATAGTTTCTCTAGAGAACCCTAATACAGACTTGAGCAGACATTTCTAAAAAGATGACAAAAAAGATGAAGATATATAAATGGGCAATAAGCATATGAAAAGATACTCAGCATCACTACATTCGGAAAATACAAATCAATATCCCAATATATCACTTTACGCTCATTAACATGGCTACTGCTTTTTTAAAAAAACCCGGAAAATATCAAGTGTTGAAGAGGATGTAGAGAAATTGGAAGGAACCCTTGTGCACTGTTGGTAGGAATGTAAAATGGTACAGCCACTGTAGAAAACAGTATACCAAAACCTAAAATGCAATAAAATAAATAAATGGGAAAAAAAAAACAGTATAGCAGCTCCTCAAAAAATTAAGACTAGAATTACTGTATGACCCAGCAATTCCATTTCTGTATACATACCTAAAAGAATCGAAAGCAGGGTCTTGAAGAAATATTTGCATACCTGT